CTTTCCTCATGATTGTCCTCGTTCCTCTTCGTATTCTGAGAATGAGCTCGCTGGCCATGGGGGGACGGCACCATGTTGGGACTACCTGGCCCGAATCCACAATTTCTGCGCCGTCTGGGGTGGGTCCAACAAAGCTTTCGCGGACCATCCCAAGCATGCGCAGAACCGACAGGCAATCCGAGCACCCAGGCGAGTCTCGGAATTTCGTTCCCGCAGGGCAGTTAATATCTTTAACAAGTCTTCGCGTGTCGATTGTGCGCAACTGCATCTGCACTGCGCTCAGTACTACGCACGCATGTCTGATAAGCAGGGAGAGACTCCGAAGCAGTGGTATTGCGGCTAGCGTCCAAACTGAGACAATGGAGCAGAAATGTGGACTGCCCAAGAGGTTCGATGAAGGTTGGATATGGCTCCCCATTTTTGGGCAGCGATAGCACCGCGCAAGAAAGAAACGCTCTGCTGGTCGCTGGCCGCGAGCGGCTTTCTCGGCGGCGCTATCGGGCGCAACGCACTTGACGGCGACCTCTGAGCTGGCCAGCGGAATTATGACATGTATTTATAATACGTTTGCTGGCATGTCCACGCTGCTCGTGGCCCTGATGATCAATATCATCGTCCGCATCGTCAGCTTCACCTCCGACACGACCTCAGCGGTGCACCTGCCGTAGCTTGGTGTGCTTCGGTAACGACTTGAAGACGAAAGGTCAGTGTGGTCACCGTTCGATGTCCGATGGCCATGGTCAACCGCTGGTCTGCCAAACCAATCCCTTGTACGATATCATCTGCAGCGAAATTTTGAGTAGCCTCTGGAGGCATCACAGCTCAAGACGACGCGAAGCGTAGGCCTTTCACGAAACTGGTGAACCGCACGGTCCACCAACTCGCGGAGTTAGCCGGTGGAGCACCTGGCCGAGGCGCGAAGAAAACATTTAAGCGGGCGGAGAAACAAGGCTGGGTATTCATGGCTCGGCGTCCTTCCCCTCCCTCCTCGATCATTCCGACTCTGCTGCGCCTCCTCCTCCTTCATCTTCCTCCTCCGTCTCCTCATCCTCCTAGCTCTCCTCCGTCCTCTCTCTCTCTCTCTCTCTCATCATGCTGCCTCTTGCCTCTTGCGCCCTGCCTCCACCTCATCCTCATCCTCCTCTTCATCCCTCCTCATACTCGGTTTCTAGCTTCTCTGTTTTCATCTGAGCTCAATCCACCGCCACCATCCTCTTTCCCCCATAATGGCACGCAGGGCTGGAGTCATATCGTCTCAACCCGCAGATCTGTTTAGTGGTGGCCCAGCTCATAATTATTCAGGCTGCGTGGACGCTCCCAGGCAGCTCCCAGCGGTCAGTCCTTTGACCTTGCCTCAATGTTATCATCATCCTGCCCAGCCCTTGTCAGGCGGCCCCAGTGCAGATGAGGCGGGCGGTGCGAGCTCAGGGGATAACAATGTTGTCCCCAAGTCGCAGCGTGTGAAGGGCGTCTGGTGTTGGCGCATCACCTAGAGCCTCCTTCTCCTGCCCAGCTTCATGCGCACTCGTGTAATTGTGGCCATCGGCATAGCGCCCAGCTGCAATGAGCGGGCCGCCCAGCTGCGAAGAATTGCTGGCGCTGTGCGGACTTCCTCGGCCGCCCAGAACAGGACTCCCTCTATGTTTATGTTCTTCGCACCTTGTGGACCCACATTGCATCTGGGCTTTCACTGCAGCGGTTGTAGTGCCACCCTGGTTCGTTTCGAGTGTTTGAGCGAACGCCACTCTTCATACAATGTCCCGCTCCTCTCGTGTTCCTACTGTCCGGTCGCATGCATGCCGAGCAAAGCGGTGTGAGGTATCCACCTGCCTCGACCTGCATCAGCCGCGCGGGAAACTGCCGATATCACGCGGTGATTTTACCAGCTTGCTGAAGAGACATTGACGATATGGATCCTAGTTCCGAAGAATATTTCCTGAGGCAGTGTGACAATAGCAGTCCCGTCGCTCTTCCAAGGCGGAGGGGCCTAGGACATTCAGTTGCCAGATTTGCACCCAAAATTGCGAACACCCAAACTCGGGCGACCCAGCAAGGCGAGATTCCGCCTGGTACGCTACGTAGATGCTCAGGCACAGTCATAGCGTCCCTCCAGAGCGCGACCACTTCGTATCATATGCCAAGTCTATCGTAGGGTCTCCACGAATTCGGGCATCGTGCTAGCCCCCACAGGATCTCACGCGGTTGTTGCAACTTCGTTTTTTTGTGAAAGGACCCGCCTGACAGTAGCTGTGGAACCGACGAACGGCGCAATCATGAACGCAAGGTTACACAAGATTAGCTTTCGTATTTGCGACGACGACCCTGCCTCACGCAACGTGTGGACGTAGATGATCGCACGCTGATGCCCAACTGCGCATTCACGAATGATCTTTGCAATCACAACAACCCGTGAAGCGAGTCATTCGAAGATCACTGGTTAGCCAAGTGTGGGTCAAAACGTCATTAGCAGGTCATTCGTGGGTCAATACTTGCTTTAGGCCGTTCGGGGGCCATTAGCGGGGCCATTTATAAAACATTCGCCTGGCATGAGCGGACACTTGGTGGTGCATTAGTGGGACGTGAAGCATCATCGGGCTTTCCATTAGCAGATATGAGGGAAGAGCATCCAATACACATAGCCGGGCTCTCTGGAAACATAGCCTGCCGAATTTGCTGCACTGAACGACTACCCTCCCTGACCATTTTGCTCGCGACTGTCCGCTCGATAGCAACGGGTCTTCAGTAGGGGCTATACGCCCATCTCCCGGTAGGATGCGCCCCACTGGTATAATCCTGATACCTGGCTGCTGGCTGTCGCCTATCTCTCTCTCTCTCTATCCCTCTTTCTGCCTCTCTCTCTCTCTCTCTTCTTGTTTTGTTTGTTATATCCCTCCATCTCTCTCTCTCTCTTTCTCTCCCTCTCTGCTCTCCACATACAGTGCCCCATTCCCCTCCCCCACTTTGGCAGCCACGCGACACAACTATCACGTCCCGAGGTAATGGTTTTCACTGCGAAGAAAAATCGATCGCAATCAGGGCTCCAGACGCGCCTGAAGGGTTGGCGCAGCCAGCGCCCCTGAGGCCACTCTGACTGCCCTAGACTTAGCAATGAAAAACCTCCTCCACCTCCAGCCCCCTTTTCCCCTCCCATGCTCCTGGGTGAGCTGCGACACGGTGCCGCGCAGCGTCGTGGCTGCCTGGGCAACGCCCGCGTTCATGCTGTCGATCAAGCTCCCAGACCTGGCTCGCTCGCTCGTCCTCCTCCTGCCTCCTCCTCTCTCTGACTCGTGCCCCCTTGCATCGTCCTCTTCCTCCCCCTCCTCCTCAGTCATCCCATCCTATCCCTCTCCTCATCGACATCCTCCTGCAACCCCACCACCACCGCCTCGTCCTCTCCTCCTCCTCCTCCTTCCCCTTCCCCTGGCCTCCCACCCCCTCTTCCTTCTGCTCCAGCTCTTCCCTGTTCCCCTTCCCCGCCCGTCTCCTCCATCTCTGGCTCAATCGCCGGCTCATGCTTGATCCCCACTCTTCGTCTCCTTCTCCTATGTCTTTGTCTCTTCGTCCTCCTTCACCATGCTCTCCCCCCCATCTTTCTGAGTCCTGGCTCATCCTGCTTTCCCCTCCCCACTCCTGCTCCTCCCGCAACCTCTCCTCCCGAACACATACTGTTCTCTTCCCCCCTTCCCCCCTCCCCTTCCCTTTCATCCCATATATTCGGCAGGACCGAAACTTAGACAGTCGCCGTGCCGCGGGAAACCCCACGGGCTGGACTGACCAGAAAGGAATAATGGGTCGGGGCACCAGTCACAAAGCATCGCACTCGCCTGAGATGACACAACTAGTTCCCATTTCAACCTCCTGCTCTCCTGTTGAAGGATCCCTTATCCCTAATCGTGGTTCCTCCATTGCCTGGTTCCCTCCTCCTCGTCCTCTTCCACCTTATCTCCTCGTCCTCCTCGCTCCTCTCCTCTCCTCCGTCTCCTCTCCCTCGTTTCTCCTCTTTCCCCTTCCCCTCCCGTCCTCACCCTCCTCTTCCTCTGCACAAGCTCTCCTCCTCCTCCTCCTCCTCCTGCATCCTCCGCACTTGTCCCCAAAAAATCTCTGATGTCGTGATCTGCTTCACGACGTGTGTCCCCGGAGCTCTCGACCCGATCCCTGGGACATCTTTCCCGCCGCCGATTTCAGACAGACTCAGGGCGGCCGCGGCCCCTGGACCTCTCCAACGGTGTATTCCGGCGAGACTTTCGATGCGAGTCCAGCCGGGCGGCGAGGGCCCACGTCCGAATTTTCAGCGAGCCGTTCCAGGTGACGCGCTCGGTGGTTGAAGGACTCAGGAACGGCACGCGGTTCGCCGAGTGTCTCACGGCGTTCGGCATTCGTGTGCCAGCGTCTTTGTGAGGCCCACGTCTCGCTGGGTGAGGGAGTCTGGATCGTCGAGCTCTCACAGCGGGTCGCGAGGTTCAGGAAGCACGTACGCAACACGCTCATCAAAGGGGTGCCCTCGACGGTCAGGCTATTCGAGAAGTTGCAGCTGGGCATCGCCGACAGAAACGCGGTGGCTTCCTCACATCACGCAGACGCGCAGGTGGTGGAGCGCATCCTGAAGAGGAAGGACGCGACGCTGCAGGCGGTGATGCAGACGGCTGACCTTGGCGTCGACCTGTCAGGATGCAGGCGCACAGGCGACTGCGTAGTTCGCTCAAGCCAGGCGCTGTGCCGCATCTGCCAGGATCCAGCGTGCTGGTCCACAAGCATAAGCGGTGTACGGGCACCACGTGTACGGCCAGTTCGGATCGGCGATGCTGGCTCAGAGGCGACGTCTCGGGGCGGCGGCAGGGTCTTCGAAGCGCGGGCGGAGCCTCACGTCACTGCTCGCGCTGAGGCTACCAGGTTGTGATCCTGGGGCCTTGCTGTCACGTCACTGTGTTCTGAGTGGCTGGGTGTTTGGCTTTCGCATGCTGAGCTTCGGCCCTCCATCATTCGTGCTTGGCCCAGGGCGGTGGCGCACATGCAGAGCCTCCCGGCTGGGCAGAGAGCTCGTCACGTTCGCGGACCGATGACTACAGTGATGTTGTATCTTTTGAAGGCAGGATGGAAAGCTGGTTCGCCCACTGTGTGGGAAGTGCCGCATGATTGCCCATCGATGACGCATACCTGGCAGTTCCAGGGCAGTGACTGCGAGGCGCTGCATCGAGCAGGCTCTCTTTTGGACGAGCTTCAGCAGACCGTCGAGCTGAAACAATGGCGTGCGGTCGCGGACCTGTTCTGCGGCGGCGGGCTCGAGAGCGGCGTGGACACGGGCTCCCTGAGGGCCACGGTGAGTGACCTCCTCAGTGTCAGGGAGGGGAGGCAACTCTCCGAGCTGCTCGTCTCCATCGCGACGGGCGGCTACTGGACTCGCGAGAGGGATCATCAAGCAAACATGCGCGAGTCAGATCTTTGCCTGGGATGTGAAAAGGAGAAGGGTACTCCGTTGCACATGTCAGGCCTAAGCCAATTCCACATCCAAGGCGTATGCTGATTCGACTGGCTTTTGCCTCAAGCCATATCAGAGTATGGTGCATGTCAGTGTTCCTGGATGCAGAGCCCCATCCCCGCTCCGTGGACCCAGGTCTCATCTCCTCCGTCTCAGGAGTCATTGGCAGGTGGCTGTCTCTTAGGCGGGGTTCTTGGTGAAGCGTGCCTGGGAACGGGATCTCAGGAGGCTCCCTTCGTGGTCTTCGGAGACGCTTCTGCAGGCCGAAGCACCCACGACTCTAAGTTACATGGAGTCGGCATCGCGGTGTCTGCGTGCTCAAGTGTCGGGCCTAATCTGCATAGGCCCTCATCAGTTTGGGCCGCTCCCTGGGCCAACGCATAATGCCCCTGGACGTAAACGGCTAGCATTTAATTTGGGGCTCCGCGTCTCGGTAGGATCGCTCGTTTACGTCACTGATTGTGCAGAGGTTGCGCGAGGGTGGTACGCTGAGTTAGTTGTGCGGCCAGAAGGGCGACAGTCCGACCTCTGGAGAGAGGTCGGCAAGACGCTAGCACAGCAGAGCAGGCACCACTCGCGCATTCTGATGATGCAATCATCACATCTGTCCGCCACTGAGCTTCTCTCTCGGGGCACCCCACGTTGGTTGGTTCTCGGTGACTCCCAAATTGGTTGGTTCTTGGCATACCAGGTTAGTTTGAGAGGCAACCGAGCGCGCGCGCGTCCCCCAGATAAGTCGTCATCAGGTCCAGTCCGTTGAACATGAAGCAATGCTCGTGCGTAGGAGGCTCGTTTGGGTAGGTCTTGTTTCAAATCGGGCTTCCCAAGTCTCGGCAGGGGCCGAGGCCAGAGCTTCCCCTGGTCCCTCGCCTGAGCCTCCCCCTCCTCCTCCTCCTCCTCCTCCTCCTCCTCCTTTTGCAGTTGCACGCGTCGCATCTCCGCGCTCCTTGACCGACAGTGGTGAGGCGTGTACAGTACACAGGAACTCAACACCGAGAGCAGCGGTGTCGGGATGGTCAGATGAAGAGTGCTTCCAACTCAAGTAAATTATTACGCTTGCTGGCCATTGTTCCGAGAGGACGGCGTTCACATTTAGCTGGGGATTGGATCCATCCCTCACACGCTCTTATCTATCATCAAGGCATCAAGTTATGGTGTTGCGACACATGAGGCTTTTTTCCGGTCAGGCATAGCTCAGGGGGCTATCCAAGCCGAACGCACTCCTACTCACGAAGGACATGCGCGAGTATCTTGACAGGTTTAACAGCGGACTGTTCCGAAATGCTGAGCTGAAAACCTGGTTTTATCACTACGTCATGGCGGAATCCCTTCCTCCCTAGACCTCCACCTCCTGCACCTTCCGCGATGCCCCCCCTTCGTGGCCCCGAGGGCGATGCCTGCAGCGTCGTGGCGACTGCGGGACACACTGGCAGTGCACACGTCCACTCTCGCCGCGGCCGCACCCGAGGCCCCCGCCGCGACGGCACCTGCCTCGGGCCGGACGAATGGAGAGGATGATATTAAAAAGAGGAGGACGAGGGGGAATAGCGAATCGGCTGTGTGCAGCTTTCCTGGCGGCTTCGGGCACCAGAGGCGCCAGTGTACCAGGAAAAGCGCCGGTCGACGGGGCCAAAAACGGCGGCGTGTAGCAGTTTTCAGAATCCCCCCCTCCTCTTTCCAGACATGCAACCTCGTGAATGACTCACAACATGGCTCCCCGCAGATCTGGGCCTCTTCCTGGGGACGGGCTTTTCATCCTGTGCGGCTGGCGGCCCCGAGACTCTGTGTGGCCCTCAGGAGGCCGAGACTTGCAACAAAACACCCTCCGTCGCATTGTGTCACGACGCGAGAGTGCCTGGGTTCTTCCGCCCCAACAGGCGGAGACCATCCCCCGGCGGCCGTTCGGGATGATCTGCGCAGCCCCAGAAACCCTTTGGCGATGCGCAGCGGCTGGAGAGCACCCTGAGGCGGGCATGCCGCCGAGAACCGATCGTCCGAAAGCTTCAGACTTCGAACTTCCGATCCTGCTTCGCTTACGTTGCCCATGACATTGCCCCTGAGCCCATCCCTCCCTCCTGGCGCGCTTGTGCGGGTCCGGCGGCCCCAGGACTCTCGAACCTCCCTGCCGACGCTCTGCGTGATCTCCTCGTCGCCCAAGAGCAGGGCGACGACGACGACAACGACGACGCCGACGACGACGGCGGCGACGACGACGAAGACGACGACGGCGACAACGACCCACGATGCACGACCGACGGCAACGATGACGACGCCGAGACGACCACGACGACGACGACGACGATGACGCCGAGACGATATTGGCGGCGGTGGCGACGACGACGACGGGAACGACGACCGTGACGACCGTGTCGTCATCGTTGTTTAGAATGGTCTGGGGGCTGTTCTGGAAACTCTCCTCGCCAAGACCAGGCGCGGCTCGAAAAGCGAGTCGGGATGGACGCCGAGAGTGATTCTCCAAGTCTGAAGACGACGAGCGGGAGGAAGTGCAGCGAGCTAGGACCCGCGCGTCTCGGAGGGGCGGGCGCCAGCCTCTGCACACGCCCGCGGCCGCGGGCGCCAGCGACCTCCTCAGAGGCCGCTCGAACAAGAAGTCCAGCTCCCCGTTCAGCTCGAACTTCATCACGTCGAAGCCCACTCCGACATATCGCGAAGTGCAATATGCCGCACGCCCAGGTCGGCCGCCAGGTTCGCGGCCAGTGTGCTGTTGACCACGTCCTCGGCACGCTCCTGCCTGAGCGCTGGGAGTTTGGGGCCCAGAGCCACGAGCATAGTGGAGGAGGTTCGCCCAACCCCACGGGTCCGCTCCGAACTCGTCGACGATCGCGCCTACGACGCAGGCCGTCTGCACCTCATTCAACTCCCTCTTCTTCTGTTTCTTCTTGCGCTTCCTGCCGCTCGTGCCACCATCGCATGGCACACCAGCCTCGGACCTCGACAAACACGTCCTCCTCGACGCGCGCCGCGGCGACGCGGGCTGCCTCCGCATCATCCCTCCTCTTGGACGCAGCCTAGTTGGCTAAGAAGACCATGTACATGACCTTCGCCTGAACGTCGCGCGCCGCGCCGACTCGGGCTGCCTCCGCCGCATCCCTCCTCTTGGGCGCAGCCTAGTTGGCCAAGAAGACAATCTACATGACCTTCGCCTGGACGTCAAGGCCCGTGGCCTACGCATCAACGTCGTCCGTGCAAGCCTCGCTGTCGATGTCATCGAAGGCATCGGCCCAGCACGACCGCGTTGTACTCCATGTCGAACGCGGCGCTGACCTCGCAACACACGGCGCTGTGGCCGCATCTACTGCAATCTGCTGCGCCACTCCACCGTCGATCGCACCACCGACTCACCGTCGTCCGTGTAACCGTCGCCGCAGTCGCAGTCCACGAAGCGCGACCCGACGCAGAGGTCCACAGGAGACGAGACTACGCCGCCCACCGCCGAGCACTGCATCTTGTCAACCCCGAAGCCCACCTGCACGCACTGCTGCTTCTTGCAGCCGCCGCCCACGGAGCACGACTCGACGCAGAGGCTCACCGAGGACGAGGACACGCCGTCCTGCACGCACTGCACCGCGTCGCGGTCGATCGCACTCTCCACGGCAACCTCGCAGCCGCTGTCCACGAAGCGCGACCCGACGCAAAGATCCACGGAGGATGAGACCACGCCGTCCACCGCCGAATTCTTATCTTGTCAACGCGCACGCGCTGCTCCTGCAGCGCGTCACGTACGGTCTTCTGAACTGCCGTCCGCTTGGGGGACCGCGGGACCTTCGGCAGCCTACTGCTAAATAACCTGCACGGCCGAGCCCACCTCGTCCGACAAGCCGCCCTCATCGAGGACCACGTCCGTCTTCACGCTGTCGCTGTGGAGCCACGCGCGCTCGAGGGCATCCACCCAGAACGCGCCCGCGAGAAGGAGGGGAGGGCCCTCGTCCACCACCTCGGCCGCCTCGCACTCGGTCGCGAAGCCCTCACACTCGGTGTCGGCATCATCGCTCTCGCCGATGTGGAAGCACTCCGCCTGCTCCAGCCTGCGAGCCGCCAACGCGCGACGGGCGGAGAGCCACTGAGCCAGACGGCCCTGTTTGGACCCCGCTCGGGGTCCAAGCGGGACTTGAGCCAAAATGGCTACGGGGCAGCGGGCTAGGAGGGAAAGGTGGAGGCAGGAGGGAAGAAATAATGAGGGGGAGGGCGAGGAGGGCGGAGGGAGGATGAGGCGAGTACGAAGACCAGGACAAGCAGAGCAGGAGGAGGAGGTCGAGGAGGGAGGGAACAGTAGGGAGCCAGGGGGGGAGAGGTGGCATGGGGAGGGAGGGGGGGGGGAAGAGAAGGGGAGGAGGACGAGGAGAGGACGAGGCGGACACCGAGGAGGGACGAGAGCCAGGAAGGCGAGAACGAACACCGAGGCCACGAGAGGGAGGGCGACGAAGCAAGGCTCAGCAGCCCTCCTTGAGCGCGGAGACGCGGGCCTCCAGCTCGGAGATGTGGCCCTCGTTCTGTCGCTCGAGGGCCTCGGCGCCCGTGGCCGCACAGTGGCGCCCCTGGGAGGCCGAAGAGGACCCAACGGGCGATCCGGCCCCCGAGCCTCGGCCCTCGAGTTTGCTTTTCTCTGCAGGGGGAGCCGCCTCTCGGCTCGTCGCTCCCTGACGCTCGCTCCCCCGAGGATCCTCGATCCTCGGTGCCCGACCCCTCGCTCTTCAGGCCCCTGGCATGCAACAACGCAGAAGCACGGCGGCCAGCCTCCGCGTCCTGCGACTGCCCAGCGCCGATCTGCGTCGCCGCCACGGGGGCCTTCGGCGGGGGTGCCGGCGCGCACTCGGCGGCGCGGGCAAAGAGCGCTGACGCATCCGTTGGGGATCTGCCCACACGTCGGCCCCCACCCTCAGTCGGGGGCGTCGCGGGATGTCTCGACCAGGCGTCGTCCGCTCTTGGGAAGCCGCTCCCCGACCTGCTGGGCGCTCCGCCGCCAGACGCGGGGCTGAGGAATGACGATAGTAGAAAAAGAAAAAACTGCATGAACATAAACTTTTGGCGCTCCGCGCGGATTTCTTGAATCCGCGCTGGATCCCCCTCCGTGGCGCGCGGAGCGCGCCAGGGGCGGCGCCAGAGGAGCCGCCGGGGTGGCCCAGCGCGGATCCAAGAAATCCGCGCCGAGCGCCAAAAGTTTATGTTTATGGCATTTTCTTCTCCGAGATAGGTTGGGACTGACCCCGGGGGGAGATGCATTGACCTGGACTCGACGGTGCATCGCCGACGAATGGGCGGCAGGGCCCCCGAGTACCGTATCCACGCGGTCCTGGGCGGGGCGGGCTTTCGGTCCGAGTGGGCACTTGAGGCTCGATGTGCATCCCCCGTGCGTCTCCCCCCCCCCCCCCGCCAATGCTGCCCCCGACCTCCCGCTCCCTGGTCGGGGATCTCCTGGCCCGGGTTAATCCAAACCCGGGTCAGTCAAGCCTTGCAGAATCCTGCATGGTCCTGCAAAATCCTGCGCCCAAGCCCGGGCCAATGCGAAAGGTCATGCAAGATCCTGGAGAATCCTGTACCCAAGCCCGGGTCAATGCGACCCTAGCCTTGCAGGATCCTGCAAGATCGGGCGCTCCTCGAGGGGGCGATTTCCCGAGTCAGTGAACAATGATACAAGCCTCAGCGTGAAGTGGGGCTCGTGCTGCTGCAATATGGTTGGCCAGACACGAAGAAAACGGAAATTGGATTCAAATGTTGGACATCTGTGGGTAATTTTGGGCCTCCTGGGGCGCCGCGTGGCCACGGTTGGATCCGCCTCGAAATTCTTTCTTTCCAGAAAGCGCCCCAGGAGAGGCCCCTGAAGGTGGGGGATGCTGCCGGGTGACCTTCCGCCTCGGGCGATGCGGCAGCTGCGGAGCGACCTCACACATCCTGAGAGTGGTCCGGGGACGCTCTGGAGCGATCTCACCCCTGTCCTGAACTCCAACATGTTGACATCTCTGCGTGTGTGTGTGGGGGGGGGGGGCATCCGCCGGCTTTTGCCAGCCTCACGCTGGCTTCCGCCGCCGCCGGCTCAACCGTGTTGATTCCGCCAACCTCCAGGCGAAGAGGCCAACTTCTCGGTCCGTCGAAGGCGAAGCCGTTTCTAGAATGTGCTGCGGTACTTGTCTATCCTGGCCCCATGCCTGCCAAGGGGGCCGCTTAGGCCTGCCACGGAGGCGGCCCCTGCGTCGCGGGCCAGCCATCGCTGGTCGGAGGCGGAGCGAACGGCGGCTCTCGAATTGTGCGAGGACGTGAAGCAGGAGGAGGGCGGGCAGAAGGAGTGGAGGAGGATGAGGGTAGGAGGGAGGAGGAGACAGAGGATGAGTAAAACGAGGACGAAAAGGAGGGGGATGGAGAGGAAAGAGAAAGGGAAGGGACAAACGAGTAGAACAGGGAGGAGAAGAACAGGAGGGAACGTATGGAGATGATGAGGAGGTGTGAGGCAAGGAAGAGGAAAGAGAGAGAAATATCGAGAGATGGAGAGAAGAGAAAGGACAAGGATGAGCTAGGGGCGCTCGCGCCGAATCTGACATTCGACTACTCTCACCCATCTTCCTCTTGCGCTGTTTTCCTCTATCCGCCGACGCGACTCACAGCGGACCTGGAACTCTAAGGAGGACCCCATCGTGTGATTCGCCATCAACCAAAAAGGGAACTGTTGGCGGATGCGCAGGAGGATAAGAAGGAGGAAGCGGGGGAGCATGAGATAGGAGGAGGACGAAGTGCAGCAGCAGGAGCTTGAGTGGAACAAAAATGGGAGGAGCAGGAGGACCAGGGGAAGGCGGAGAAGGGAAACTGAGGGGGGCGACAACAAACATACAAATCCAGAAAAGTGGCCCGCGCTGTAACGAGAGCGCCATTCTGAACGACGGGAGTCCAGCGCCGATCCGAACAGGAGGCCCACGCTGCAGCGGAAACGACGGGGGGAGAGAACAGTAGTATTCATAATGTGTCACTGTGGCGGGTGGGAAGAGGAGGTTAGAATTGATAGGGAGGGGGAGAGATGGGGAACATCAGCGTGGACTACAGGCGAAGAGAAGAGAAACTGGAGGATGGGGCGGAGGAGGCCCCAAGACAGAACGTAACACGAGTGAGCGATGTGTTGCCCTCTGGTCACTTGGTCATTGCCCCCCCCGCCCGTATCTGCTGCTGCAATTCAACCTGGAGAGAAGGAGAAGGCGAACGAGGTGGAGGAGGCACAGGAGATGGAGGAGGAGAGAAGGTCTCTCTCTCTCTCTCTGCTGCATATACATGTGCCGCAGGCGATGTTTCCAATAATTAGTTCTGCTTCGCTTGCTCATGGTAATTCATTGAATCGGTGTGCCAAGTTTTCGGCTGGTGCCCAGTTGGTGCGCGCCCCCCCCCGCCGCACAGGCCGCCGGCGGCGGTGGAGCCCGGAGGCACGCGGCGGCGTCCTCCAGCATGGCCCGCCTGGGGTAGCCGTGGCACGCCCTCAGACTCTTTTGTTCAGGCTCCTCGGCCACGACCTGATCCACGAACTCACTCAGCGGCTACCGCGCTTCGTCCACGCTGAAGTATGCGGCCTGGAACTCCTGGCACGGAGTCCCCTGGAACTCGGCCTCCTCCGCCTGCATTGCGAAAGCTGGGCCGAGGATGTCGTAGTCATATAGTACCTTGCTGACCCGCCGCCGCACGGCGTCGAGAACGCACGGCCCAAGGGCCAGCATCTGCGCCCATCTGTTGTTTCAAATCGGTTGAGCGCCAAGGCCCAAATGGCCACAGGCATCGGGCACAGTGGGAGGATTCGTTTTGGCACACGGGGGCGATATATAACCCAATGCGACAACAACAACGCAACAACAATCCGCACTTCGGAACCCCACTTTGGCCACGCGTCCAAGGGCAATGTGAATGACCGTCTGGCATCCTCACTCATGGAAATATGTTGAAGGCGCCCAGGGACATACTGACATACACACACATACCTAGACAGAGGCCCCAGGATTCACAAGAATTCCCAAATGTTATGAAGCTTCGTCTTCCCATACACTTCCAATCGTTTCCCCATCGTTTCCTGGGACTCGCCGTTCATTTGTGTCTGTGTGTTTCTCCCCGTCCACACATATACATGTGTATATATATGTGTGTGTGCGCGTGTATTTGTACATGTGTATTCGTGTATAAGTATATCGACAAAACTTGTTTGAATCTGTGATTGCTTGTATCTTGATGTATAGATATGTACTAAAACCACGCGCGCGCTTCGCGCGCTTAGGCTCTAGCTGCTCGAGTGCTGACCGCATTGAGAGCAACATTCTCCCTCCTCCACCCTCTGATCTGTCGCCAAGCTATGGGCCAGGGAAAAATACAGCGCTACAGCGCCATGTTGCACTATGCTATGGAATGCCATGGTACACCATGCTATGCTATAAAACGCAACGGCGCGATGCAACATGCAATGCAATAACATGATATACTCTACAGTGCGCATTGCATGCCGTGCCATGCTGTGCTGTGAAATACTATGGAAACGTATGGGATGATCCGCTCAGCCAAATCATGCTATGTTTCCTGTGAAGAGCGATGCTACCGCGTTACGTGGTATGCACAGGCACGGCATGCCAGGCTATGCAATGCAATGGATTGTTATCCCATGTTTTGGAGGCAATTTGGGAAGCCTCGTGAAGGCAATTTTGAAGGCCTCTTGGGGGCCGTTTGGGGTGCTCTTTGGGCCTCTTTTTGGGATTCTTTGGAGCCTCGTGGAGCCTCTTGGGGGCCTCTGGGGGGCCTCTCAGGCTCTGTTGGGAGCCTCTTGGGGCCGGGCCTGTTGGGGCGGAAGGCTCGAACTGTCGGTTCGTGTTCCCCCTATTGGACCCATCTTGGGGCCGTCTTGGGGCCCTCTTGGGCGATCTTGGGCGCCTCTTGGGCCGTCTTGGGGCGCTCTTGGGCCGTCCTGGGGCTCTCTTGCGCCGTCGTGACGACCTCTTTGGATGCCTCTTGGGCCGTCTTGAGCTGATTTCTGGGGCCTCGTGGGCTGTTGTGGACCGTCGGAAACACGAAACAACGAGAACACGAACATGATCGACCCACGAACCCGGAAAGCAATATAGAAATGTAAGGCATGGCAACGTTTCAAAGACAACTGATTGGGCGACGGGCAAATGCAATGCTGAATGTATCGATCTTGATGTACTGTGCCGAAGGCTTTGCTGTGCTGCGCCGTGCTGAATTGCGATGTGCCATGCCGCGATTGTGCTCTATAGTGCTGTGGGTAGAGTCCTTCTTTGCATCCGAGCCCTGACCGAACTGATCTGGATCTTAAGCTCGAGCTGCCTGAGCACGTAGTAGCTGCCCCAGAGCTAATTGACAGGGGCACATGCTAGGAGGACGCGCCGCGGAACGTCCCAAGGCACGCGCCAAGCGACGTGCCAAAGGACGTGCCACGGGGACGCACCGCGGGACATGCCAAGGGGACCCGCTACGGAACGTGCCAATGGATGTGCCACGGGACGTGCCAGGGGACGCGCCGCGCGACGTGCCAAGGGGACTCGCCACGGGACGCGCCACGGAACGTGCCAAATTGAAATGCTGAGCGCATCGATCTTGATGTACCGTGCCGAAGGCTGTGCTGTGCTGCGCCGTGCTGAACTGCGATGTGCCATGCCGCGATTATGCTCTATAGTGTTGTTGATCGAGTTCTTCTTTGCATCCGAGCCCTGGCCGAACTGATCTGGATCTTACGCTCGGGCTGTCTGAGCACACAGTAGCTGCCCCAGAGCTAATGACAAGGGAACTTGCCAGGAGGACGCGCCGCGGAACGTCCC